GTGCCTTTTTTGCTTCCCAGCATTCCATATCAAACCACTGCCTTGAGTGCTTACTTGCCCTTTTCATTAGTAACCCAGCATTGCATGACAGTATTGGGTTCAATAACCACAATAAATTATTATAAGTGTTTATTAGTTCCTGCTCATCTGACCATTTCACTATAGCTGCCCTCAACTTTAGTGTGCCTTTCTCTTCCAAAACTACCTTCAGCTTCTGTTTAAGTAAGCACGACATCCCTATTGCTCAGAGGGCCAAACTGGACTTTAAAGTATGACCAGTGGCCTAAAGGGGCCAAGTGGAGCAAAAGGGGTAAAAGATCTCCCAGAAGCTTGCAGAGCACCTGAAAGTTTTTAACTAAAGGAAGTAAATTTGCACTGATTAACATGAAATCAATAGCACTGCATCTCTTTCCAGCCATGAATGTGAATTCTTCAGGATAATCCCCTGAGACAGATTCTTTCAGGATAATAAAGTGCAGTCTTTCTGCCATTCTTGCAAGGCATATACCATCATAATTTGCTGTACCATCTTTGGAGAGGCCAGGATAATGGTAAAGAGAATGCTTCTCCACACTGTGCACATTAGGCAGCTTTTATTTAACATAAAAAATGATAATTTGTGCTTAGCCTGGCATTATAATCCTCACCTAAAAGGAGGATAATCTGGAACATTATCTATTTCTCTTGTATTTTTTTTATAAATTAGCTATCATCTAATGCCACAGGAAATAATTAAAGTAACATGGGGAAAACCTATAAGCCTTTGTAAGAATATATTCTGAAAAGTATAGTAGTGTGCTGTTGTTTCGTTTAAAAAAAGCCACAGTCCACTTTATAATTGAAAGAAGAGGGTTGATAGGGCAATATGGGATATAGAAAATGTGTGTGTGGGTGGATAGGGCTGGAGAGGGATTCAAAAGATGTCACTGGTAGTGAAAAGACATGTTGCACATTCTCTGATGCACAGCCCTCTTAACAATTCACTTAACTGTTGGCTATACTTGAATTTAGGCCCTCTGCCTTTTTTCCCTTATTCTACTTGACTCTGATAACAGGCTCTGCTATTTTGACCTTTTCCCAAACAGATGATAATTCTTAGTTTCACTAAAGCAAGAGATTTACTGAGACAGCTTCTTTGTGACATTAAATGACAGTATAACTTGTCTGCTACAAAAATTAAGTGTCGGGTGTGAGTGTTCTGCATCTGTACCCTCCAACTATATCTGCATCCTGCTTGCAAGATTTAATAATTCCCAAATAAGGGAGAGGTTTTTCTAAAGTGTGGTTGAATGTACTACCATCAACATTACTTGAGCTTTTTAAGAGAATTCCAATAGAATACTGCACATGACCATATGGGTGGTGGCACTGAAGCACTTTCTCATGTGTGTTGTTTTGTTCTTTCTATAAATTGGAAAGAGTTGACTACCTTACTATTAGTATTTCTGTCAGGGTGCTTATCTGATTTGCATGTATCTTTCCTCCTCCTGAATCAAGATAAGCAGGTCACAGTAAATCTGCAAATTTTTGGCAGCTCTCATTAAAATAACATCTATTACAGTGCACTAAATTTTATTTATTTTTAAGCTGTTAATTCTGTTTGCTGTGAATGTTTTATATTTGATGCATTTGGGGGCTGCTGTAAATTCCTACAGATTTTAGTTCTCAGTCAATTTTTATTATGCAGTCATAGTCACAATAAAACTCATAAGAACATTTCAAAACCAATTAAAAGCAGTTAAATAAATTGCATGTGGATGACTTAAAAACAAATAAGACAGGCAAGGATCACCTTGGAAGATTTTAATCTCATAGTTTTATCTGTTCTGTTGTGTTGTATTTATGATATTGCAATAGTTGTGGCTGATGCAAACAAAAATTTAATTCTGTTCTAGTTTAGTTGAATATTCTCCGTATTGTAAGAGAATTCTGAGGGTTGCCAACTGAATGGGAAAAAAACCTACCAGGTCTTGATTCTCATGAGTAAAACTGCTCCCTTGAATCTACTATTTGCTATTTGAGATTTATTCAAGAATCAGCCAACACAGCATATTCAATGTGTGTTAAGGATCCCAACTTATTAGCAAAAGTTTATATGAAGTTTTAATACACTTATTTATACATTTCTTCTTCTTCTAAGAGCCTTTAGATTATGTCCTGTGATGCCTTCTGAGTGGTAACTTTTATAATTGAACCTTTGCTTTCTTCTCCAGTGCCTGGAGCTCTTTATCTAATGGCTGTATACTTAGTGGCTATATTCTCACCTAACAACAAGCCATACTGGAAACCACATAGGCATGGCTTGTGTGAATCCAGCATCAATGCTGAGGCACAGTACATTTGGTTTCCATGAAACCAGGCGGAGAAACAACAATTGGTTATAAGATTTCCACACTTTACCATGGCTTGTCACTAAGTGTGACCACAGTTACAAAGCTTCCATGATTTCTGCCATAGTCTGGCAGCAAGAGCAGCTGCAACTGTAGCAGACATTTCAGCCTGCATTTACTGCTGTCCTGTCTTGCCTAGCAGCTACCTTGCTGAAGTCTGCCACACTCCGATTGCCTGCTTCATGCTCCTTTTTTGTCTGTCCGTGTGCTGCCTTCTTGATGCTTAGCTGTAGCTTTGGAATCTTGGTGGCAGTGGTGCATCACAAGGACTCTCAACAAGCTGTGGGACAAACTCTGTCCTAACAGACTGACAGGAAACTTTCCTGGACAGATGCCTAGACAGGCACCTTTGAGAAAGTCTGCCTGGATGTGCTCCATCTGCCTCTTGGCATAGGTTCCCGTGCTGTTGCCCTGCACATGCCTTGCTGCAGAGGGAAGGTGGCTCCTCCAGTGTGTGAGAGTCCTGTACGTGGAGGGGGCACAGACACATGAGCAGCGAGTGGGGAGAAGGGTGTGTTGTGGATGGGTATACTTGCACATTGGCACAGAGCAAGACAGCACAGGGGAATGCTCTTGCAGTGGTCCTCTAGAATGACAGTGCTACTGTAGTGAGTAGCACTGAGCAGCAGAAAAAAGAAAAAGGCAATGATATGTGGAAACTACACACATCTCAACCCAGGACACAAGGTGAGATACCATGCCATGCAAGTGACATTGCTTCAAGTGATGTGACTACAGCCAGTGTATCCAATGGCTCAGTAGATGAAGCTTCTCACAATATTTGGGCATGTGAACTGTACCTGTTGAACTTCTAGCTGTCGTGCAGCTGAGGTACTGGAGGAATATTCTCAGGTGCTGCTTCTATGTGTGTATGCCAAGTAAAGATGCACCTATTGAATTTCTGCCAGTCATGCACATAATATAAATGCGCTGGGCTCTCTGCCCTTAATTCAGCAACCTTAATTCAGCAACCCTTTCTAAGGAACAAGGCTGGAGAATGGCAAAAGCCAAAACTGCAACGCTGGGTCTGAATTCAGCTTCTCTCAAGTACAGGGACTGGCTCTTGAGTTAACATTACTCAGCCTCCCTAATTCAGGCAAAACTTAGAGTATCTAAGTAGGGAACTATTTATTCTGTATTGCTTTCCTCCTTCCACATACCTCTCAAAATATTATTACTGATCTCCTGCTGTTTCCCTCTCCTCCGTACACATTTAACTTGTAACCCCCATCTCTTACACAGTCAGTTTCTTTCAACCTTCCCTCCTGCTGGTGGGACTGAGTGGGCTGCAGTACTGAAGCCCATCCAAACTGTGGCTGAGACCCCACTACTGGACCCAAATCCACATTTTAAGAGATGTTGCTCTAAACAAACCAAACTACTAAATAAGGCCAAGTGTGTTACCCTCTACAAGTTCATTCTAAGGCTGTTGTTAGGCAATGCACATTGCTAGTGGGCCTATGTAGCAACACCTCATCACTCACCATAGGTTAAACTGGCCAAACATTTGTATTTTTCATACAAACCAGCAGTGCTTTTTTTGTCATAGATCGCACCGAAACAGAGTTCTGGCACCTTTTTTCAACAGATTTTCCAAGTTTTAAAAGAAACTTTTAAAAATTTGATGTTTGGTCCACGTGGATTTGAATCGCCCTGTCAAGTGTAGCAGGTCGGTGGCAAAATCATTAAAATGGTGTATGCGAGCTGCTTGTGTGTTGAATACGATGCATGTGTACTTCGTCCGCACTGGTTGTGATGATGCTGCTCGGCTTGTGGCACTGCTCGGCTTGTGATTGGTTGTGTGGTCACGCGCTGAGTGCTTACTGTGGGCGGCGACCATTATGTTTCATTACACAACTGATGTGTGTGGGTGTGGGTACAGTGATTAACTACATGCAAAAGGTAAATGATTTCATGAGTTCCGGCACCTTTTTTCTTACAAAAAAAACACTGCAAACCAGAAACACATTCCTGGTATGGCAAACTAGTAGATTTTCCCCTTTACCTAAAACAAATACTGGCTCACAAAAGACACAAATCAAGTAATTAGCCAACACAGTCTAACCCCAGAAAAGTCTGTAGAAAAAAACCCTGACAAATCTTGTCAAACTGCTGGAAGCCACTTGTCAAATTTCAAACTCCCACAAATTAGCCATTCAAAATCAACATGGACCATTTTCAAATGGACATTGCCAAGGCTGCTAAGTTTCAGATCAATCAGTTGAACTGGTTATTATTAAATATAAACCGCAGCATCTACTGCTTGTAGTTTCCTGGGGAACAGGAAAACAATTTATCCAACCTATCCTTAACACAGGGGTGCAAGTTATTTTACTTGCAGGTTCCTCATATCTGGTGCTCTTGCCAAATGTGCTCACTTATGGCATGTCATCAGGATGGCATAATTTCATATCATAGCTTATTCATTGTTATGGTTAATAGTTGGGTAGTGAAATGCTACTGCAGTTGCAGTCCATAGCCACTAAAACTTTTTGCAAATGTATTTGCTGCCCTTTCAATACTTGAGAGGAAAGCCTGTAATTACAATCTTGTGATGTGATCATTAATGCACACCTGAAAGGTCAATATAAATAAGTAACTTCTACAAACCTTTCTTTCTGCAATCCAGTGTTTGCACAGGAAACACATAAATGTGACAAAGAGAAGAATCAAATTCAGGTCTGCTGACTTCAGGTTTTGGTCTTTGACGATCTAGTCTTTCCACCTCATTGCACAGCTGTTCAACTTTAGTTTGCTTGAGCTTTTGATCTTTCAGTTCTGTTGGATGTGCACATTTAGCATAATTTCCCAAGTTCCTGTTTCTTGGAAGCTGCAACATTGATATAAGAGTTTCCATTTGACAGTTGCAATGCCAAGGATTATCATAGAGGCGCAAGTAACTTAAAAGAGGCATGTAAATAAACACCTCCTCAGACAAAGTCTTAAGCTGATTATGCTGGAGTAAAAGTGTAGTTAGTTTATTTAACCCAAAAAAGGCTTGGTCCTCAATTCTTGTTATCTCATTCTGTTGTAAATCTAGGCTTCTCAGTTTTTTGTAGTTGGAAAACACATTGTTCTTCAGTTTACGAATCCTGTTTCTGGCTAGGAGGATGTGTTTTAAATCTTCAGGCCAATCTGACAATACAAATGTCAGTTTTCTTTCTTGGCAATCTAAGTATTTGTCATGAAGATAGGTGTATATGTCACATGGGGGGCCACGTGTGTAACGCTTAACAGTGCCAGATGCTTTCCTTAAGCCATTTGTCTGTCCATTGTTTGCTTTGTTTCTTGAACTTCCATTTCTTGTCTTCCTAAAGTCAGCTGCTTTACAAAAGAAAAGTAGTATTATAATTGTAACCACTTGCATCCTGACATCCAGCTGGCCCCAATTACTTCGAACAGACAGCTGGAACAGTCAGAGTATTCCTTTGAAATCTGAGTTTGAAAGTCTTAAACTAGCGTAGTTCTGAATCAAGGAGGCACAGCTGGGGTATTTGGACTTTCTGTGTTGGAACAAAAGCAGAATGTTAGAATGTTATTTCTGTAGAAGATTATATAATAAACCAAAACTTGTTCTTTATCAAAATCATTTCCTGTATAGTATATTGGAAATCTTGAAAACAAATTTTGACAGGGGCAATAATGGCATGCTTCCCTCTTAAGAATAATGTAAAATGCCTGACTTAAGTATCTTTCTGATGTCATGTAAAATACCTTTGCACTGAACTGACACAGGGATCTCTGAGTGAATTTGTTTAGCCTCTATTAACTGAACACAATATGGGCAGGTTTGCACAACATGCTAAGCCATCAGGATGTTTGTTGTTTGAAGAAATTTCAGACAGACAAATGGGCATTGCATGGATTTGCTCTGCCCTTGCTTTTCCATCCTTCCCCCTCCTCTCTTCTTAATCATTTAAGCCAGTGGTGGCATGTACCCCAAGGTCTTTGTTAATTCCCCTCCCAAAAGCTTGCAATTGCCCTATCCATGCTTGGAATTGACAGTGGACAGAAAAATGGAGGGACATAACCTTTTATGTACTGACATTCTTCTTGACCCCATTAAGCCTGGGAGCTGCCAGAGGAGAGCAATATAACTGGTAGTATGCACAAGTCTCACTAGGAAAGCCTCCAACAGTTTTGAGCTTGCAAGTCATAGGTGATGTGAGCATGTGTAGAACAGCTGAATATATCTTAATATTAATGCTTTTTTCATGTAATCATAGGGAAAGGCCTCTGCAGTGCTACTGATCACAATGAGAAAGTGACTTAAGTTGTAGCACAATGGACTAAGGTTTGGTCTTATGACCTTTCGGTCATGTTCAGAGAAGACCTACTGAAATCAATGGGATGAGTTAGTTATAATTTTGATAGGTCTGTTCTAAACCTCAAGTAGTCTGGATTCAATCTATGGCATTTCACCATTAAAGAACAGACACTACAGTCTAACAGTGTAAGTCTCAGCATGTTCAGTGGAACTTGCCTCCACATATATGTTTAAAATTGCAGATAAATCTTTATAATTGTAATATAGTATCATCCTCTGTTTAGCTGAACCAGAGTCTCAAAGCATTTGAATAGTTCCCCTGTATCAGTGGTGGCAATCCTATGGCACATGTGCTGCAGCGGGCACGCAGAGCCCTCTCTGTCGGCATGCGAGCCAAGTTGCCCCAGCATCGCCCCAGCAGCTGAGCATCAGATAACAGCACACATAGGGAACATGCACATACTTGGAAAAGAGTAGCGGTGCCAGGAAATGATGTCATGAGCCACAACTCATTAGCCACGACTCATTTGAGCTTTTGCATGGTCGGTCAGTGTGCTGCCAAGGGGATATATATTTGATTGGACTGTCTGTGAATTTTAATACGTTTGTTTTTATTAACGCAAGATTTTAGCTTTGAGTTTTCTTATGAAAAATTGAAATTTAGTATCTAAGATTTAGCAAAGAGATGTTCTAATTAAGAGACTGAGATTCTTTTAATGTTGTTCTGTCCCCCTGGCATATTTGAATCTGCAGCATCATATTTAGTTCTTTGTGAATAATTTATGAAAACAAGAGGAAGGATGTATATATTTGCTTGCGAAATGCAAACTTTTACCTTTCAATAAAAAGCTGTTTGTATCATTGAAAGCTCTGTTATTGTATTTTTCTTTTAAGACAAAAGATGTTAATATATGAGTTATTTTTTCTAAACTAAAACCTCGATATTCAGGTTCTATTGCAGTGTTGGCACTTGTGAGAAATAAGTGGGTTTTGGGTTGCAGTTTGAGCACTCAGTCTCTAAAAGGTTCACCATCACTGCCCTATATGTTGTTATTTTCCTCCCCATTACCAATTTTGAACAGATGTCACTGAAACATACTAAATATCACACTAATCATTAATTCAGGTTATTGATTTCTTGTTAAATTTAGGTCAGTGTAAGAATTTGCAAGAGTTAAATGTCTCTGAATGTCAAGGGTTAAATGTAAGTACTAATTTTACAAATATGAGCCACCTTTACAAAAATTCAATGATAGTAAATTGTAGTTCCATTTTTTATTCTTAAAGAAAATGCAGGAGCCAAGTACAGTATTACTTAACCAGATGCTTTAGATTTGGAAACCATCTGACTTCATAGTTTGCAATCAAGGAGTTTATTATAAATTCATGGCATCATTCCGTACCAATGGTTCTTTTAAAATATCTGTACCAAGTAGGTCTACAGCAAAGATTGTATGTTTATAGTGCTTCAAAAGATTAGGGGTTACCCCTTCATCTATTAAAACATTGTTTATATAAGCCAATACAAGAAAAGGACTTACTACTAATCTAAACATTCTGACTATCTGGACTGTAACACAGAAAGTCTCTTGCTTGCCCTGCAATGGTAGTAGCAGCCTGGCTGACAGGCACCGTATAGCATCATCCCTTCAGCTGCAATGTACAATATCTACAGAATGAAGGAGAAACTTAATTAAATTTAATTTAGTTTGTTACCACAGCAAAAACGCAACTCAAAAACTGCAGGCAGGGAAGTCAAGCCTCCAACCAATATGCTCTTGGTCAACTGGGGAATTAGACTATAATAAGTGTGATCTTTCACTTTGTATGGTTGTGAAACCTGGAAAAGGAAGAATGCTGCCATGAAGACAGTTGAAGCATTTGAAACATGTCCCTGGAGAACTCTGCAAATATCTATGGACTGACAGAAGGACAAGTAGGTCCTAGATCAGATCAAACCAAATTTTTTCCTGGAAGCAAAACTGATGAAACTCTTGTATTTGCATATCATGACAAGCCAAAATTCACTAGTGAAAGACAAATAATGCTAGAGAATCTCAAAGGCAGTTCCATAAAGGAAGCTACAGCCTTGAGTTCTAAGAGCTGAGCAGCACTGTCAGAGACAGGACATTTTGGAGAGCATTAATTCATGGGGTCTCCAGAAGTTGGTATGACCTGATGGTATGTTAACAACAACAATGTGGTGTTACTGACAAGCTATGTCAGGGATCACCAGGGATAATGAGATACAGTTACACACATTATTGGTTTAAAATAATGCCAAAAGATAACGTGTGTCATATGAACCAGGCATAAATGGTTGCCAATAAATATTGCTAATCATGTTGTCAGAAAATGATCTTTAATTATTAACTTACTTTCTGTGAATAAAATAGAGTTCATGGAATGGAATGGAGCTTTCCTTTTACTTTCTTTTGCAGTGCCCTGCGCATTCTGAAACTGTTCTTTGGACTTGGGAGACCCTAAGGAATGTTACAGGATGTGTGGGCTGCAGAATGGAAGGCGTGTTGATGAAAATTCCGCTTCCTGCAGTACTTTTCTGTGAACAGAAAGGCAACTTAGTACCTTCTCAAAATCTGATTTGTGTTGCTCAAGTAATTCCAATGTAATCGATTCAAATGAGGATTAAGAGCAAACGCAAAGGGAGTATCACAAATGACAGGGACTTCAAATCTATTTTCTGTGTAATGATCAGGGAGTCAAATTGTATAGATTAAAAAGAAAGACCTTTTCTTGTATTGGCTTTTATAAATAACCAGTTCAATAGGTAAAGAGGTAAGCCTTGATCTTTTGGTACATCACAAACATAAAAATCTTGAGTGCAAAAGCAAACATCAAAAAATTGGCGGCAAACCAGTGATAGCCAATCAGGTGTGCCAGTTGAGCACTTAGAAGGCTACTACTGACTGTCACTTTGTAAATTGAGAAAAGTGAATTCCAAAAGAAAAGTGGGGGAGCCACAGTGACCTCAAAAGACATTACAGTTGATATTGGGTAGATACTGCAGTTGATACTGAAGCCAGTCAGGTTTAGACATATAAAGGTATTTCCAAATGTAAGAGATTCATTTCTGACAAAGAAAAAGACAACAGACTTCCCTGATAATAGCATAACTATCAGAAAATCTGAGTACTTCTGCATAACAGAGCCAGGGTGAAAAATCAGTGAGATTCAGTGCCATCTTTTTCAAGGTCATGATTCCTGGAAAATATTCTATCAGCATATACATCTCTCAGTGTGCAATGCATATAGTCTGTCAGATAGAAGATGTATGGGAGCAAGTATTTCAAACAGATCCCAAATTACTTAATTTTCAAATTAGTACCCTTTTATATTTATATGAATCAAAAAGAATATGGATTTTTCTTTGAGAAAATAAGGACAAACAGAAAATTATTCAAAAGTTTCAATTTAAAGCAGATATATAGACTATTTTTTAGAAACACTTCTAAATTAGCACACTCTAGTTTTATGCTAGTCTGAGTGGACCTTACTGTTTTCCCTGATCAAGCCTAGAACACCAGTTGGAGGAATAAATGACATTAAACCTTTTCGGTTTCTTCGTTATGCCAACAGTGTGTTTCTGTTGGATGTTTCCACATGTACTACTGCCAAATGTGATGACAGTCCAGTGGAAGGCAACCACATTGTGTAAGTGGAAGAAGAAAAGAAGACTTGATTAGATATATCCACATTACTGAACATGAAACTATCCATGGCAGTGGCAATTCTGTGTAAACTCAGAATTGTCCTGATTACCCAGAAAGGGAGTGTTGGGTTTATTTTAACAGCAAACGTTCATGAGGAATGCAGTATTTATTTTCCCTAGTTCATCCTGCTCTGCTGTTTCTTTTCCTGGGCACTTTCCTCATCAATCAAATTTCCATACTAGGAGTGTACTTTCTAAGATGAAAAAACACTTATGAAGATAAGCTGCAGGGAGATAAATGAGAGGCTGAGGCTGGCTTCAGTGCCCCTCATTGATGCAACCTTTTTGCAGGGTCTCAACTCTTTCTATGAATGGTTGAGCAGTTCCCTATTTAAAGAAAGGACTGTTACTGTCCTATTCAGTTTGGCCCTAAAAATGGCACATTCATGACTTTAAAGACTGTAAATTAATTTTCTCAAAGATGTATTAAAAGGTACACCATATAACTGGAGAGAACAAGTGAAGTGAAATATATGATGGAATGAAGGGACACAGCAGTTCCTCCTCCACATTTTTAAGCAGCTTCTTCTAATAGCAAAAGGGAATTTCTGTTTGATAGCCAAGAACATCTGCATGCTTACAGAAGCTGCTTTTACTCAAATGTTGTAAATTAACATTCAGCAAAACATTACATTCAAAGCAGTGGTCTTGAAGGAAAGCTTACAGAAGGGGAATTCCTTCATCTTCTCTGAAAAATTCTACCTAATGGATTAGAGGCAGTTTATGCAGACAAAGTTCCCAGTTATACAAACCGCTTCTGTCCAAAGTTACTTGATTCCATCATCCACTCCCTATTTCTCAGGCTAAGGGTCTGCAAAGGAGAATTTTCTTTCAAGATGTCCTCACACAAGTACTTCTTTGGATGCACTGAAAAAGAACAATTTCTTGCCCTTCAAGAAAGTGCATTGAACAACCTTTTACACTTGAGATTCAGTTGTAGAGCATTTTACAGTGCAATGTAATTTAATGGGGAATTGCAAAATTCTTTGCTTTAATTGTTTTAAGGTAAAGGACTCATCATTTGCTTTTCCAGTGTTTCTCCTCCCTTAAAATTCTCAATATTTGGAGAAAGATATAAAGACAAAATAAAATTGAGATCCAGTTTAGGATTCATGATAATTTCTGTGTAAAAATGTAATTTTATGGTATCATTTTGGAGGATGTAGTTAGGTGCTTACATCTGAAATTTGGCAAATACGCAGAGTAGCCATTCAGCCGGCCAGTACATAGAGATAGGCTCTCTCAGTATAAGTTGCCTATAACGAGGGAGCAGTCCCAGGAGTCTTAGTTAATTTAGTGACCTGAGAGTGGCTTCCTGGGATCATCTGATTCAATCTGCCAGAAGGATTCTTAATTGTGATACTGTGGTCCTGTTCAAACTGATTGTAGTTTCTTCTTCTGAACAGCAATCCTGACAGCACAGGGTAGGAGAAAGCATTAATTTGCTGGTACAGGCCAATGAGGATTAAAACAAAATACACAATTGCCTGTGTGAACTGTACTGGATCAGGTTCAGATGTTTGCTGAATCAGGATCATAGATGGTGAGCTGAAGTCAATTTTGACAGCACCATCAACAGGAAAGAAATAACCCAGCCCCTTCTCCTCTCTGTAAAATACTATAAATGCTGATAAGTAAACATGTTTGCCCCACTGTTATGCACTGCTTCTGTTCCCTTCTACAGGACAGCTGAAAGGCGACAAAGACAATTTATGGAAATATGTTTAGACAAAAAAAGGTCTACAATTCTCTAGAGCATGTTGGGAGTTGTAGTCCTTTTTAGTTGCATCATATGTTCTATATGAATTTGGTCATGATAGATTGTGCTAGTTAATCTATTGGGCATGCAGTAATATTTGACATTACAGTATTTATAATTGTTATGGAATACAATTGAAAAATGCTTCTGATAGATAACCATCATATACTACCTTTTAAATGCAACCGATTTAATTTATGGTTTTCCATGTTGGGCAGGATGAATTAATGAGAATTGTATCAGAAGGTTGTCCAGTTCTCCTTTACTTAAATTTATCTCACACTGACATCACCAATGGCACACTACGACTATTATCAAGGTAATACATTTCCTTTATAAGAAAACTTGGATTTTAATATGACAATATAAGAAAAAGTTGCAATATTACCATTTTAGCATTTCATTTCACTGGATTCCATCATTTGAGAGTTTAGTTTCTCTCTATTTATCATCTATTAGTATCATATGGAAGGAACAATATCTTCTTCTCTGCAGAGTGCAGTATTAACCATCTCTTATTTTACCCCACAAGTTTGGTATGTAAATTATTGATACCTCATTTTTAGTATGGGGAACATAGGCTGGGAACAACCTTTCCAAGACTACAGTGAGTAGTTGATGGCTTGGTGGCTTAAAGTAATGGCTTGGTTCACATGTTCCAATAAGTAACGCTGTATATTTCCATGGTGTGTGTGTTTTTTACCTGGATGACAAAGCCTGGTTTGGATGGTCAAACAAACCACAATGAAGTTTGGAAATCATTGAACTGACTATTGTTTCTTATCATGGTTCCTAAAAAATAAACATACCATGTGGAAATACCATGACAGGGTTTGGATGATATGACAGACCATCCTGCACAAGAAACTTGTCATGTCTTGTGCCCCACAAAGTGTGATGGAATCTAGGAATTCATCACTAACCTACTTTTATTTTTACTCCCTAATTCTTCTGGCCAGGTCTTCCAGTGCCCAGTTTTGCCTGAAATTTTCTTGCTTAATAAACTTGCAGTATATACGTTAAAGCATTTGTGTCTGTTTGGGTCTGTTAGTGTTTAACTATTTAAAGCAGGGGTCTCAAACTCAACTTACCTGGGGGCCACTGGAAGTAGAGTCTGGGTGAGGCTGGGCCGCATCAAGTATTCCACCACCGCGGGGGTGGTGGGCTGCTCATCTGGAGGCCGGCCCGGGCGCCGCCGGCACTTTGAAGGCCGCAGGGCCCCTCCCCCGTGCCCCACCCGTCCCGGCAATTGGCCCGCGGGCCGCGAGTTTGAGACCCCTGATTTAAAGACATGTTATAAAGCATAATTATAAGTTTAACACTTAACATAGGAAAACAAATGGAGCAGAACTGCATATAGAGTATAGCCTTTGCTTAATAATGCTTAGGATAATTAATCAGAAATAATATGTACTATTTAAAATACCTGGCTATATTGGCAAATATGAATTAAAAAGAATTTGTGAGTGACAACATTTATCTTGGGACATTTTAAAGGTGTAGCACTGTAGATGATCCATGGATAATTTAAGAAATGCCTTTTTAGAGTTAACCACGAGTTTTTCAGGATGAAGTATTTATTGTGCACTTGTGATACCTAACTTATAGTTCTTAGCACAACAATTGTGATTTTCTGGTCTCATGTCCGTGTTGTTCTTGTTGTAAGAGCTCTTTCTTAGGATTTTTAACTTGGGAAAATGGGATAATATTTCTGATGGAGAAAGAAAGGGTAGCTTTCTACTTGTGTACTAGTCTATTCTTCCATAGCACAGCACTACCTTGAGGTTATGTGACAGAAAAGCTTTTTGTGTCAAGTTCAGATCTCCATTCTGTAATGAAACCAAAAGTTAGATATAGCAGATTAACAGCAACATGCAGAAAAGCCTACAGTGGTCAACTTACACCAGCAGCATGTTTTCTGTTCCTGAGACGCCTTCAGGGAACAAAGCCTAGACAAGAAATAGGACTGCCTCTGCAATTGTAGTAATGACAGTTACTGTCTTTCTAATAATGGAGTAGATGAAGCAGTTTTCAGTTCTCAGGAAAATAGCATTACCCCCCTCATTTCACACATGTAACAGAACTGCTGCCTGCGCCTTATCCGTCATACAGTCTGGAATCATTAGTCTGTTATCAATATATTTGCTAAGCAGTTCTCTGCAAGCAGCAGAAGGAACTCCCAGGCAACATGCCAATATATTTTCTGACTGAGACAGACAAGGGGGCTACAAAGCTCAAAAGTCTTCTCTACTTATAAAGAGGAGACTGGAAGAAGACTATACCAATGGATAGAAAGCAAGCAAGCTGAATTTGAATGGTACAGCATTGTTGTGTGACTATGCATCTGTTGTCAAGGAATTTCATACTGTTGGGAAAGTGATAGACTAAGAATTGTAATTTAATCGGATCTTTGAATTTACTGAAACTTGCCCTTAGAAGTTGTGGATTATTTATTTATTTGGAATGTTTATAACCCACCTTTCCAGTTCAACACTCCAGGTAGCTAACAAATGCAGAGGTTTTAAAAATACAACCACAGCAACAAAAAGGTGGATTAATATATTATAACCAACACAACAAAAACTCAAATGGGCAAACAGCAACATTTACCAAAATGCATTCAAAAATAATTCCCAAGGGGAAAACATATTCAGCAGGTAAGCAAAATAGTGCCCGAGATAAGGGAGTGCAGATCCATTGAGTCCTTGAGCTTCAGAAAATGGATTCTACAACTGAGAAAGCCCTCTCACATTTTCCAAACATTACATCTCAGACAGTACAAGGACACATAAGAAACCCTTTCTTAAGGGTCTCACTAAATGGGAAAGAGGAAGGAGGTCAGTATAGGAGGAGACTGGAGAACACAATTCTCTGCCTGGCAGCTATTGCACGGCTAGTGTCAATTAAAAACCAACCTTACTAAACCAAAAGTGACCTTTCACATCTTCTAAGGGTAAATGACAGTAAACTCTAAAAGACAATGCAATCCACTTCAATGTCATTCTTCCAATAGTACCTAAGATGCCTGATTTTCCAGTTCCCTGATACATAAGTCCTGTCTTATCACCAGTGTTGTATTATCAAACATAGGTCAAGGATGGGAAGTAAGAACAACTCAGTGTGACATCTTGACCTTCTAAAAGTTTATTGGCAGAAATTTCCAGAACATTGCCAAAGCAACCCTTATTAAATAGTTTCCAGTCCCCTTAGCTGCTTCCATCTCCCTTCCACACTATGCATGTGCATTGAAAATAATAGACAGAGCACAAATTGACCTAGTTTTTATGGATGGAATGTGTAGTGTGATCCAATGCATGCTTATCCAGCCTCACGGAATTAGATGAGACTTGTTCCCAAGTAGCTGTGAACAGCAGGGATGGGCAATTTGTAAACTCATCAACCGCAGTCAGCATAGCCAATAGAGAGGAACAGAGGAACACATGTTTAGGTTTGTAGTCTTACTAATCTATTTCAAATTATATTGATTTTAACAATAATATTTAATAATAATAATAATAATAATAATAATAATAACAACAACAACAGCAATGCTACTCCACTGTGCCAAAGTCTTTAAGACTTCACTGAACATGTGTTTCAGTTCTTTTTTCTAAAAAAGGGAAGTATGGAAACTCATAAACATGATGGCTGTATATATAAACTATATAACTAACTATATAAAATTACAATTATATTGTCTTGAGTACATATATTTATTGCATTTCTATTATGTCTATAACTAATCTGGGCAGAATATGAACAGTTAAAAATTAAAATACCACAGAACAATTAACATTGAAAATAAAAAGGTAAAGGTTCCCCTGCACATACATGCTAGTTGTGTTCAACTCTGGGGCCAGTGCTTATCTCCGTTTGTAAGCCAGCATGGTCCAAAGACACTTCTGTAGTCATGTGGATGGCATGACTAAATGCCAGGTGCACGGAATTCTGTTACCTTTCCCAGCAAAGTGATACCTATTTATCTACTCGCATTTGCATGCTTTTGGACTGCTAGGTAGGCAAGAGCTGGGACAAAGCAGCACTCACCCCAGGCACTCACCCCACCTGCAGACCTTCCATTCAACAGCCCAGTGGCTCAACGGTTTAACCTGCTGCACCACCCACATCCCTTCAAAATTGAAAATACAATAGTGTACAAATATTTAAAGGTATAAATGCAACATAATGCAAAGCACAAAACTAAATGATAACAAATCCATAAAAATTAGAACTAGGTCTCTAAAATGCTTGGAGGAAAAGAAAGGGCCTTTTCTGGTGCAGAAGAATTAGCAGTGTAGGTGCCAGGTAATCCCCTTTGGGAAGTTTATTCCATAAGTGGTGTGCCACCACTGGAAAGGCCCTCTAGCTTTTTAATGGGGCACTCAGAAGAGCCTGAGCATGTGCATGTGGGAAGCAGCTTTCCTTTACGTGCTCTTGTTCCAATCTGTTTAGAGCTTTAAAACTCAGCGCCAGCACTTTGAATTCAGCTTGGAGATGACTGGAAGCCAGTGCAACTGGTGAAGCACTGGAATCACATAATCATATTGGTCATACTTTGATATAAAGTATTACTTTTTCTCTGAGCATCTTTGCCTTGAAAGCTTGCAACATAATCTTAGCAAGTTCATTCAAAAGGTAGCTCTAGTTACTTCAAAGGAGTTTCCTTCTAGATAAGTAAATTTAGGATTCCAGTTTCAAAGGTTATGGATGGCTATGAAATATGCTCCCATTATTCTATAGTTCATAATCACATACAGGATATACATATTTATTTGATCTGTACTCTATTTAGCCAAAGTTTCAAGTCTCAACTATAAGTCTCAACACGTTTAATCTTGGTTAACAGACACCTACACGGAAAGCTTCTATATTTCTATGGAAGTTACTCAGATATGCTATCAGAAGGGTATTCAACAATTACAAGATGGTAACTCTCATTATGCTCTGTGTGCCCCTGTCATACTAATGTTGTTTAGACAATAAGCTGAACAGAACACCCTTGACTGATCTTAGATGTCATGATGGGAGATGTTATCTCAGATAGTGTGTTTCCCCGAAAATAAAACCAGATCTTATATTAATTTTTGCTCCAAAAGACACATTAGGGCTTATTTTCAGGTGATGTCTTATTTTTTCTTACGAAAGCTGTAAGATTCTTGCCCCAAGAGTCCTCCACGATTCCTTTCTTGTACTCGATGGAATACACCCATCCTTTTTGCACCCATCCTGAATTTTGCATCCATGTACATCTGTTACAACACACGGCATATTGACATTATTCGTGCATTACATCTGTACTCTGATTGGTCATTCGGCAAT